ATGGGGCAAAAAAATACCTGAAGAAAAATAATCTTTTCCAAATTTTATTGAAATCAGTAGCCCAGAGAATAGCTCAGATCTAGAAACCTCAGAAGACCCCAAGAAGGATAAATATAAAAAGAAGCCATGGTAAAACAACACATTATTTACAGGAAAATAACAAGCATGACCACTGACTACTCATCGGGAGGAAAAGGAAAGAAAAAAAGATGGAGGCCAGAAGACAACGGAACAACATTTTCGAAATGCTGACAGAAAACCTGTCAACTTCGAATTCTGAATCCAGAGAAACTATCTTTGGAAAGAAAAGCCAAAATAAAGGCATTTTCAGATTTAAACAAACAAACAAAAAAACAACTTGAAAGAGTCTATTGTCAACACACTCTAAGAAATGTTAAAGGAAGTTCTTTGGGCTGAAGTGAAATGAAATCAGATGGAAATGTGGATCTACCCAAATAAATGAAAAGCACTGGAATGGCAATACATGGGGAAAAATACGAAAAACTATTTTTCTTTCTTTTCTTAAATTCTTTAATAGTCAGTTGACTATTTAATTAAAAATATTAGCAACCTATGTGGGGCATATAACATACGTAGCAGTTTAACATATAATAAAAATAGCAGAAAAGACAAATAGGGGAATAAATAGAATTTTGATTTTTTAAGATCTTTTACAGTGAACAGGAAAGGAATAATATTAATTCAAAGTGATTGGATAAAAATGCATACTGTAAACCCAACAGCAACAGCTTGAAAATATAAAGAGGGTATAATAATAAAAACTAGTTGAGGATATAGAACAGAATTCTAAAAAAAAATTCAATTAACTCAAAAGAAAAGAGGACAAAGAACAAAGGGTCAAAGAGAAAATAGAAAAGATAATTAGACAACATAAGTGTAATTACATTAAACGCAAATAGACTAAACAGTCCATTAAAAAGCAGTGACTGCAAGTCTCAACTACTGCAGCTTACAAGACAGACTTTAAGCATAAAGACACAGATGTTATGAGAGTAAAGGACTGGAAAAGAATATGGCATGCCCACAGCAAACATATGAAACGTGGTGTGGCTATTTTAAACAGAAAACTTTAAGGCAAGAAATATTAGCAGAAAAAATCAAAGAAATTCATACTGATGAGAGGATAAATCATAGAGAATACATAATAAATCTAAATCTGTAAGCACCAAATAAAGTTTAAAAACACATGAAGCAAAAATGACAAATATATGCAAGTTCATAACACTGTTTATACTGGAAACTTTATTTCCAGTTAGAAATGGGAAAAAATACAGCCACAAGTCATAAAATCTATAAAATAACCTGTATAATTATATCAAGAAAGCTAAAGGATGGATGTAAACAAACTATAAAATTATATTAACACTAAAGTGTCATACCATGTTTTAGACAGGAAGACAATAGACTTTCATTTTCAAGTGAGTATATAAATCAAGTGAATATATAAATTGTAACATAAGTACAATTAAAATGCCATTGTGGGTATTTTTGATTGAAAAAAACTCTAAAGTGGAATATTCCTGTTCTTTTTAAATACTCATGATGCTATTTCAAGTTAATATACTCAACATTCATTTTAAATAGCACAGAAAAAAAAGGAGGTAAAGAAATATGGTAAAATGTTAACAATCCTTGAATGTATGCAGTGGGTAAGAGTGTACTTTTGATTATTTCTACTCTTCTGTGAGTTTGAAAATGTTCCTATAAAAAATTTATAAAAATACATTGGCTAAGTAACAAGTCCATGATTTTTTTAGAAAATAAACAAAAGGTAAGAATTATTTTACCTTTTACATATAATAATAAATTTAATAATAAATTACATATAATAAATTTTGACATAGTAATCAAAACAGTATAACTGTAGTTGAGGATTAAATGATTAGCAATGAGTGCCTTAAGGGATCCAATGAATTATCCAAGATTTTATTAAACTTAAATTCAATTCAGTGGAAAAAATAGGTTGTTCCTAGTGGTACTGATTCAACCCACCAGAAAGAAAGTTATGATCATAAAAATATAACTACAGAAGAATTAAGATCTAAAAATAAAAAAATAAAACTATAAAAATACATAAAGAAAATTTTAAATTCTATTTATATTACTGTGAGGTTGGATAAAAACCAATGATGAGAGATTTGGCAGGATGGAACTAAATTTCTTTGTATTTAAAAGAAAATCTGAATAAAATTTTTAAAAACCACCTGAAGAAAATATTTGTAATACTCATATATTACAGAAAATTTTAATCCTTACAACCAGTCCTACGACAACCATCGAGCCACAGCAAGAAGGGCCCCAGGTTCCTGAACTGGGGTGGTGGGACAAGGGCTTTTGCGACATCCCCGACATGTGCACCCAGCCTGACAATGACCAGCCACCACTGGAAGGCCCTGGTCTCCCCTGTGAGAATGAGGGGGTTGCCACAGACCTCAATCCTCCCCCTCTCCTTCCACCTTCTTCCATCCCATTTCCTTTCCTTTTCTCTCTCCCCCTCCTTCTCAACTGCTCCACAAGAGCATCATAGAATGTAAAAAAATAGTAATAATATTAATTAAAAAATATAGAATGTAAACTGATTTATAAAACAGTAAACAATTCAAAAAATAATAAAAAGTTATGAATAGACAAATACAAAGAAGTAGGAATAATAGTAAACAAACATGAAATGTATGTACTGACCCATTCTCTGAAGCAGTGAGTAGAGAATGGCATATTTAATGAGAAATTGTTTTTACCCTTATGTCAGGAGGAGTGTGAATTTCTACAGTCTTTTTAGAAAATTTAATATGTGTATAAATTTCTAGCCATATATGTTATATATTTTTCAAGAATAAATAGGTAAGCAAGAGTTTATTGCAGCATTACCTATAATGCAAAATTCTAGAAAAACTGACCAGCAATATGAGAAAGATTAAATAAACCTTTTTAAATAAAACTTTAACATTATATACTCCATACTATATAATGTGACACAACTCTTAAAAAGAGAATACAGCTGATATAATCACATTGAGAAAAAGAGAGTGGAAAAAAGTATATGTGTGTGTGTATACTGTGTACACACACACACACACCCCTTTGAAAAACCCCCCAAAATGCATGAGATGGTATCACACCAAATAGATAATTGGTGTGAGAGTGCTAAAGAACAGAGTATTGTTATTTTTCTTGTATACATCTCTGCACTGTTTGAATTGCTAAAACAAACATGCATTACCTTTAAAATTATTAACTGTGAAAAAATTATTTAATCATACATAAATACAAAGTATATTATATATCACTAACTCACATATATATATGCATTAAGCACCAAAATAATATTATTTGCAATTAGACATTTAAATTCTATTTTCTAGTAATAATAATAATTGTAATAATTTTGCTAAAAATAATAAGAAACTTGGCACTAGTTGTGTGATTTTTATTTATAATAAAAAAAATAAAAGGAAGTACATGGGTTTCAAGAGCCAAAGAATCCTTCACCAAGGCTATATTTCTCTGATCTTCTAATTACCGTAAAAGAAAAAAGAGAACTGTGAACACACACCTGTTTCTACATGTCTTAATACAAGAACTACATACAACATTTTGGAGAGCTGAAGACTGTAGACCATACTTCTCACTCAGATTGAAGGTGGGGGAGAATATGCTAAAACACCCTAATGAAACTTTAGGGCGCCTTCACTGCCACTGATCCTTTGCATGATCCTGCAAGGGACCCTGGCGATGTGTCAAACAACGTGTATTGTTTTTCTTAAATAAGTTTCCCCAAATTGTGTAAGTTTCAAGCTCCACAAAATTTGGATCTGTGCCTGTTTGAAGGTAAGGTGAATCACAGACAGCTGCTGCTTAATCAAAGCCTCGATATCATTATACGAATGATATTTATTTTTGAAAAAGTAAACTTCATTAGATATATATCTATATTTTTTTGTAAAACTAATGCTTCATGTTAAGAATAACTGAGTGAATTGCTTCTAAGAACTTGAAAACAGAGACTGCTTCCTAGAAAGTAATGTTAAGATCAGCATTTAGTGGATCACAGAGGAGATATGCCAAGCACTGAAACAGAGAGAATAGATCCAAGTTCATCAAGACTGGCATAGATCCAATAAATGAATGTTCACAAATCCAAAGATAAAGATAGCAGCACTTAAGATGAAATTGGCCAGACATGGAAACAGTAACAGGAAAGTCAAGGTAATAAAAGCTGGTGGTAACCACCTAGGAACTGTCAAGGGGAGAAGTCAGCTTAGCCAATGGACTTAGACCTAATATACAGATGGGTGGACAGGTTCATAATGAATACACCTGACATATTTTTGAATCATCTAGAGGTAAGACACCCCTCCTCAGAAAAAAAGACATTAGACTAATTTAGCCTAATGCCATTAGAACATTTAATTAATCTAATTCTTCTTGCTTTGGTTCCATGTTCATTAAACAGATTTTTGATTGCTACTTGGCTTCCTAAATGACTCTGCCCACACAGAATGAGAACATTCTGATCCTTGTGACTGAGTATATGTTTATAGATCAATAAAATGGAAGACCAATTTTATATGCCAATCACATCAGTTTGGTTCATAGGATTTGATTCTGAAAAATGAATCCATTTTCATTTGCTTTTGAGTCTGTGAGGCCAATGACCAAACCCTGCACTGCAATAAATTCAGGGAGGAATCTTTGAGAAAAGACTTGACAGCCATTCCCTTAAAAAGTGCCTATTCCTGCATGACTAGTTTAAATTCCAATTTACATTTTAATTATCCTCACAATACATTGTTGGCAATTTTGTCAAACAATGAAGAATACAAAGTATATACAAACAAAATGCACATTAAACAAAAAACATATAATATTTTCACATTTCTTCTTTCAAATATAAATTAATGCCAAATTAATATTTTTAAATAACAACTTATTCCAGATAACACTTCCTGGGCATCTGAACTTTTAAAAATTATTTTTACCTATGTGATTGATTATTAAGGTTTAGCGATCCAGTCTGGTACATCTCTTCCAACTGTTTCCTGTTTCCAAAGTATAAAGCAAGATCTGTAGCAATGATGGCTTTGCGGATGATCTCAAGCACCTGTTCATATTCACTGGAGCTCAGGGTGGAGAAGATATTGTGCCCTTCCAACTATGGAAAAAATACAAATAAAAACCACCAATAACAAGCACAAGCTCTAATCTTATGACATTTTCAGTATTTGAAACAATATAGTCAGTCAATGCCATTTGGCACATTAATAACAGGTTTTCAAAATAGTTTGAAATGACTGCAACAAAAATAACATTTGGTTTCTCTTTAACTAAGCTACAAAAACAATAAAGGTACCGCTTAAATGAACTATTTTACCTACAGTAACATCATTTTCTACCACAATAGCCCAGTGATTTAAATATATCAATATTTTTAATAGTTAAAGAACTGGAAAATTTACAATATTTAAAGTTAAAGACTTCCTCTCAAGCTAATTAAAACATTTAGTAATTACTATATCATACTGGAACACAGTGGACTTAAAAAGGTATCTATATCCTTGTCTACTTCAGGTCGCATCATATGAAAATAAGCCTAATGAGTAATAATCTACTCATCTGTATCCCAGAAGAAAATGTCCCACAACCTCAATATAACGTTTATTCAGAGCCATTAAAAACTCTCTTTATGGGCAAGAATACATTCACATAAAGCATACAATTGAAGAAAACTGAATATGGAAATGGTGAGAATTAAAGTCAAAGAGTTAAAAAAAAAAAAGGCTTACTAACTGAGGTGGTGAGCTGATGAGGTTTTTGTTTTAGAATGGTAGCTCTGGGAAAAATGTGGATTGGAGGTAGGTCAGAACCAATGCAGGAAGACAGACTGATCTCTCCTCAAAATGTTTAAAAAATATTATTACTAATCATAAATAATTCTCCCCACAAGCCCTATGCTGCTTAGCTCAGATTCTTGAAGCTCAGATCTCTATGCTACATGCCAATCAATCCAGGCCTTGATCCCCAGCAATCCTGCCTCCACTGAGTTAGGAAGCCACAGGTATGGCTTGAATCATTCAGTTGCTCTGAGATGACATAAATAATTCTCCCCACAAGCCCTATGCTGCTTAGCTCAGATTCTTGAAGCTCAGATCTATATGCTACATGCCAATCAATCCAGACCTTGATCCCCAGCAATCCTGCCTCCACTGAGTTAGGAAGCCACAGGTATGGCTTGAATCATTCAGTTGCTCTGAGATGAAAAAAGTCAATGATACACTAATTGAATTAAGCATTCACGATAACAGTGCCTTTAAAAGATATATAATACTTATTTGGATATTTAATCACTTAGCGCATAAGACCATATACTAGGAAGCATTATTACTCTGTAATTAAGAACACAGGCTTTGGAGTCAAACAATTTCAGTTTTTAATTCCATTCTGCCACTTACTAGTTGTATGACAAATGGACAAGTTACTTAACCTCTTTGATACTTGATGTTCTTATTTGTGAAACTGAAATGAATAATACCCACCATATGGACACTATAAAAATTTTAAATGCATTAATATGTGCAAACTGCTGAAGTTTCTGGTTCATATTAAGTGTCCAACACATGATAAAATGATTATTATGATGATGGTGATGATGATAACGATAAAATCAACTGGTAAATGGCTGCAACCAGAGTTAACAAAAAGAGAGAACAAAAACAGATATGCCCAGAAATGAATTTGATGGCCAAAGGTCATTTCTCTTCAGAATACATCTGTAGAAAAGGATAGATTTAAGCTAGCCTCTATGTCATACATTTTAGATTATTTGTAAGCTAGTATTGAATATAAGAGCAATGATTTTTCTATAATTGCAATAGACAATAGTAAATTCTACCTAGTGCAGACAAATTGGAAGAACACTTTAGCTGAGTCATAGAAATGTTACTGCTATAAAAAGTAATAAAAAAGTCACAGGATCTCAAAATACTGGGTATAAAGAAAGGTTCATGAAATCTGATCACTTTTAAAAGCACCAGGTAATTCAAAGTAAATGGAATATTAGGGAAAATTTTTTTAATAATGAGAATAATAACTTCTACTTGGTCTGTTTTCTAAAATTTTCACATTTGAGTACTTAACATGAGGTACTCACAAAAGGCAAAAAACTGAAAAAGGACATATTCCATATTCAACATAATCATTAACATCTCATTAGAAAAGAGAATAAATTGATTTAGTATACCAAAAATAATGGTTTTATCACAATTACTAAAAATATGTGGCTAAGCTTTAGGTAAGAAAACAAAGCTTACCTACTATCTTGGGTGTCACTGTTCACACAAAATAATCTGCACTTAAAGGCATTCCACTCGCCTTCCACTACTCAGCCACATTCCTCTAAATAAAAGTTTCTGGTCTCCAAGCTTTGCCCACATTGCTCTGCCCACTCTTCATTCTGTCATACTCGCGTTCTACCTTCAGGTTCCACCTCTGCCCACATCAACAGGCCAGTGGTGGGCCTGCAGGTAGGGAAATAAGTAAGGGACACTGCCCTTCTTCACTGTCTTATAACTCAGAGGAGGAGGAAAACTGAGCTCACAAGCAGAAAATTTCAATATGAGGTGTATGTATGCTTGAGGTGCTCAGGAATATGTAAAAGGGACACAATGCTGTGCCCCTGCTTCATAAAGATATCATAAAATAATAATTTTGGGGCCGGCCCGGTGGCGCACTGGATAGTCCGCCGCTTGGGAAGCGCGGCGGCACTCCCGCCCGAGGGTTCGGATCCCACGCACAGACCGGTTCCCGCTCACTGGCTGAGCGAGGCATGGGAGCAACGCGGAGGGTTGCGATCCCGTTGCCGGTCCCCGGTCCGGTACGGGGGCAACACTGAGGGTTGCAATCCGTTGCCGGACACAGAAAAACACAAAAGACAAAAAAAAAATAATGGCAACACTGAGGGTTGCGATCCGTTGCCGGACACAGAAAAACACAAAAGACAAAAAAAAAATAAAATAATAATTTTACTGGAGAACATAACACCAAGGTGAGCCTAAAAGATAAGAAGCAGTTGGCCACAGAAAGTGGGTGGGGAAATTATACATAGAGGGGAATCTAGACAATGGCTGGAAATAGAAAAGTATAGCAGACACTGTGGTTCTGGAAAAGGTAAGGGCCATTCATAAAAGACTTGACATCAATTAAGAAACTCAGAATTTCTTCCTGAGGCCATGGAGAGCCACTATTGGCTTTTACCAGTAGAATAACATGTTCAGGCATATATGTGGAGGATGGATTGAGAGACACAAGCTTGGAGAAACAGTGGTTGATGAGGAGAACAAGGCAGTAAAACAGACAAAATACAACCGGGATGTCAAGGAGGGAAGGTATTAGACGGCTGTAGTGGTCAGAGGGGTCTGGATAGCATTTGCTACAGACTCCAAGTGGGAGTTTCCTTTTTCCTAAATGTCCATCCTGACTACATACAGCGATGGGCTGCTGTCACTAAGAAAACAGTCCTGATGCCAAGCATCAAGAGATGATGGGAAGCTCAGCACAAGGTAAGAATGCATATTTATCTTTTCTCTAAATGTTCTTAAACTCTTTCTTACCTTACTCATGACTCAACCACTTTCCACTGCCCACTCAACAAAGGGCTGCCCACTGCGTCCTCACTATGACTGGAGGGACGGAGAGCTGTGACCAAAGGTACACTTCGCACTTTTCTGTACCATAAGTAATGTGTTTGTGCGTGTGTGTGTTAGACTGAAGATAAGTTTTAAAATACATCTTATCATTCCCTCTGCTTGTTGCCATCACTGTGTTAGCCAGTAACACTCTTCTGATTGCCTGTGTTATCCAGTAGGTAACAGGAGCAGCCATCCTAAAGGTGGCACTCAGATTAACGCAACTATGATACATAGCTACACATACACACAGCTGTGACAATGCCTGACTGGGAACTATTTCAAACTATTACATACTGAATTGTTTATTTTTATCTGGCTATGTTGCCAGAGGATGGATAGTTTGAGACCCACCATCATCTGAATAGCAATGGAGATAAAGCATCACTGCAGAGATCAAGAAGGCAATAGGAAAAGTCGTTTGTGGGTAAACAGAGGTATCAGAGGTATTTAAACGATGTAACTATATATTGTTCTGTCTCATTTTAGTTACTGGAAGTTGGAATTACTGTTATCCAAGGACATTACCTTAATTGATCAAGACTGGAGGTGTCTTTTGACAAAACATAAAATTGGCTGGACTTGGTGACTGGGTAGGGGATGGGGGAATGAGGCTAAAGGAGGGGGAAACAATGACTCTAAGGTCACCACCTGTGCATGCCACCACAGGAGATATAAAATAAATAAGGTATCTAGGGAAAAATAAGCAGCACAATTTTGGCCATATTGAATGCTGTGTTCAAGTGGTTGGAAACAGAAGTCTTACTGAGCACTACACTGAATCAACACAGGTCTGAGGGCCCTTAGCATATTACCGTCACTTAGAACCATAGGTTGACCAGATGGGTCAGTAAGAACGACGGCTTGAGGGCAGAACTCTAGGGACATGGACTTTCCCATTCTAGCTGTGAGCTCCAGGAGGCAGGGATGTGTATTTGTTTTCTTTATTATTATACCCCCAGTGCCTAAGACAAGTGCTGGCAAATAGAAGGAGCTCAATAAATGTTCAACTGAATTTCAAAGAGCAGTTAGATAAATCTGAGAAAAAACACCTAAAGAAGGATCATAAGCATGAATGAAAAATCAATATTTTGTAATTTTCGAAAAAGAAAAGAACACTTTCCTGAATACTCCTACCTGTGGAGTATACTATAAAGAAAATATATTTCACAGGGCTTAGTTTCTTATAGTTTCAGGTTTAGCCTAATTTCTTAAGAGAACATATATAAATGTTAACCTTGCAACAGACGGGAAATTTTCCTCAGGCTAGGGTCTCTGATGTGGATGGAGGCTTGTAGCACAGCAAGGTTGATGGCTCAAGGACAGACAAGTTACTAATTGATATGGAAAGATACTGGGAAATTGCTGTAGGGGGAGAGAATGTTTGCTAAGATCAAGCCTTTGTTGATGGATCGGCTTAACCTTTTACAAACTGCATTATGGAATGTCACTTTGCTTGTTTTACTGATGTTATCAACCTCTACTGTTAAAATTGTTAAACTATACTTAGCAAAAACCCCACCAATGTTCTCTTCCTGTAACTTCCTGGTCTGGAGAATAAATGTGGGGCAAGAACCTCAGTTCGTGGTTAATTTCCCAAATGGAAGGAATGCCTCTCTCTTAAGGGTTCTGGGAGATTAACCCCTTTGGGGCTTCTCACTGCTCAGAAAAAATAGGCTTTGAGCAATCCTTTGTGGCTCCATCACCCAGGGGAAGAGGGGTGACAAATACGTGTGAGGCAAAGCAACGAAATGGTGCCCCATGTGAGGAGTTCTTGCTCCACCGATCTGAGACTGACCTGCTAATCCTTGGAAAGGAAAGAAATAGGACATCCACTACTCATCCTGACAAAAGGGAGTTCCCGGTAAGAGAGAATCACCCCAGTAAAGGGGGGATCACAGGCTGTTCTCAGTTGGGGTCCATGCCTGTGGCAGGTCAAAGTTAGGTCTTTTCAACCCCAAAGGCATTTTTCCCTTCTTTTTACTTTTAAAATATGGATAATTCATTAAATAAAGGGGAGACTGAGCATACAACTACAATGTCTCCTTAAAGCAGCAGGCTGTAAGTAACTGAATGGCAGCTTGTAAAACTGTTAGTGGATATTAAACAACCATGTCCTTGATACCTCAAGGAAGGGAGCCTTAACATGAGAATTTGGGAACAAATTGGTCACTGGTTAATTATGCAATGGGTCTCATTAAGGCTTCCCACCTAACAACTTGGAATCTATGTCAAGTTGCTCTGAGAACTATCCAAGACCTTAAGAAAAGGCAAAGATATGTTCACAGCACCAAAAAAGGATAAAACTTAATCTTTGCCAGTGACTGAGAGAACTTTAAATTGGATAATCTAAAGTAAAAGAAATTAATATTTCTTTGCAGTGCTGGTATTGTTTGAGCATGTTTTTCTTTCTTATCTGCACAATGCTTCTCTTCTCTCTTTAAAGTGGTGGTTCTTTTCTCAGCTCTGAAGCTTTGTGAGAAACACAGCCATGGCATGCTAACCATGCCTCCTTTTGGGTATGCTGTCATTCTTTAAAAGCCTCAAGAGTCAAATGGTTTCATCTCTCATTGGTGGCTCAGCCTTTAAGCTCAGTAGATCGTTTGGGAAACAAAAACTAGACTAAAGTCTACCTGTTTAACTAGATGGTCTCAAATTTTCTGGTATCTAGCTGGTTATCTTGAACAGACTTCTAAATTTTCTTCTAGGCTCATCTATGTATTTCTTCACAAAATCTTCAGGTAAATTTCTATGCCATTTTTTTTAAAAAAGAAAACTTTCTCTGCATCTTCTTGAAATGGCTTGCATACTTTGCTTTACAATGTAAATTCATTATCTTGCTTTCTCTAAAACAGGGTTTACAAGCCTCACCGATAAGCTTTAATATTATTTAGAAACACAATTTAAACCTGACTGTCCTCTTATGCTAGTGAGTTTTTTATTACATTTAAAAAAAACCCTATAAGGTCCTTATTTGTTTTTGTTGTATATGTCTGTATATATACGTATGTAAGCTGTATGTGATGTCTACATGCTCATGTCTGTATGTGTGTTTGTATTGTCTACATGGTACCAAATTGGCTTATAATTAATGCACACTCATTAAATGAATAAGTATACTTTTCAAGTTCACGTGACTTAAATTTTCTAAAGTTTTGACAAAATAAATATATCCTCAAAATTTGATTTAAACCTTTTACCCAAATATGTTTTAAGGTCAATAAGCCTCTTCCTTACCTCACCTCTGCCTCCTGGTCATGCTGAGAGAAACAATATCTTTCAGACATTATCTTTGCTCCACAGGGCCTCTCTGGATTCCATATGGCCCTAAATGTCACATGGAAACCTAGGACCCAAGACGGCTAATAAAAAAAGACCTATGCCCGATATCGCATAAGCCCTAGTTAACATTAACTGATAAGGGTATAGATTTAATATACCAAGTTTTTAGCTGGAAAACCATAAATATGTATTTGGTAAAAAAACAGCTAAGAATCAAACTGGGATTTGTGTAATCTGCTCTGACAAATGGAGGCCTATTTACTAACCTAAACGTATAAAATTGTTCTTATCAGCACACATTTTTGCCTGGGTTTACTAATCAAAAAGGATTATATTTGTCTTTTTTAGAGGTCTTTTAAGTTGTACACGATAAGTTCTTGTGCTCTCTGCCTTTGAAATCCTTTGTCACTTTGGTTTTTGTAGTAATTTGTGATCTTATTCAACTAAATGTTTTAACCTTTTGCAAATTGCATCATGGAGTGTCACTTTGCTTGTTTTACTGATGTTATCAGGCCCTATTGTTAAACTTGTTAAACTATAATTAGCAAAAACCCCACCTATGTTCTTTTCCTGTAACTTCCTGATCTGGAGAACAAATGTGGGGTAAAAACCCCAGTTCATGGCTAATTTCTCAAAAGGAAGGAATGCTTCTCTCTTGAGGGTTCTGGGAGATTAACCCCTTTTGGGGCTTCTCACTGCTCAAAAGAAATGGGCTTTGAGTAATCCTTTGCGGCGCCATCACCCAGGGGAAGAGGAGTGACAAATCTGTGGGAGGAAAAGCAACACCTATGCATGCAGATTGGGATGTTTATGGCTCCAATACTTTTCTTCCTATCATAGCTCACATAGGAGGTTTTTAGTCAATCTAGTACATGAATTTGTTTTAAAACTAGTGGTGCTTTTCATTAAAATCTACAACAATGCCCAGTTCTTCTTCCCAGTTTCTTGTTCTAGTAATGTATTTAGCACCTCATCTTCTCTAAATAGGAGAAGAAATTTGTCCTTATTGTCACACCAGTGACTGAAATTCCACCACTAATACCTGGAATCTATTCCCATCAACTTTTTGGATAGCAACAGGTTGCCTCTCTGCACTTATTTTACTGCTGTGAGTTCCTGTTACCATGTTCTGACCATTTTAGGAATACCACATCATGTTATCTGGAATCCCCACATTTAGGATATGAGATGCTAATTTAGTGAGTCCGTTTATTTCTAAATGAAGGCATCCTGATGTCTATTCTGGTATTCATCCTTCTTGTACAAATAAATAGACTCAAATGATGAATGAGGTCAAAATAGATATAAACTTTCATCAAGTTCTATAATATTCAGCTACTGAGAAAAAGTAAACACACACACACACACACACACACACACCCATCTTTTATCCTGCTTAAATGTCTATGTAGGCATGTATGTATTTATCTACCCAAACATATACCATCTCAAAAAGAAAGGATTGGTGCCCAGTGAGCATCAGGAATGGTGATTCCATACTGCATGCAGGGACAGAACTAGCTCACGTACAAGCACAACGTTCAGTACCTACTGGACAGGACTTGACAATGACGGAAGTAACTCCATATCTAAAACACCTTTCACTTTTACTCAGCAGGTAGTCACAAAAGCACCCACACTTCAGTAAGTTGCTCATTTACCTTCTCAAGCCTGAGTTAAGTGGGACCTGGACAGGTACATTTTGCTGAGTTTCAAAAACGTCTGAGCATGCAGTAGTATCAATCACTTGGACAGTTAGGCCGCTTGAGGAGGCACTAGGAGAAGTGTTTGGGAAGCCATGGGGAGGCAAAGAAAATCCTGGGTGTTTGGAGGGAGACCCGGCCTACATAAGAAAGGAAAACTGTGCCAAGTGGCAAAAGCCACTCTGCATCACAACTTGTCTACAACAACCAGTCACTGCTAGAATCACTGCTGTTGATTTGCTACATAACTCTGAAAACTCAAATTGCTTCCTTTAGACACATCAGCAGAGGATTTCTTTTCCTAGTTAGAGGTACTGACTGTGAGAAGAAGAGACAGGGACCACAATTCTTAATCCAAACACAGATCACATTTTTAAGAATTGTCTGTGATAGGAACCAAACTACTATAATATAATACCTACCCTAAGGTGAGTTTGAGAAAAAAGATTTAAGAAGAAGAGGCATATATATCTTACATTAAAGCGAGATCTTCAATCATCTAGATCAATTACCAAGAATGTCTTAAAAGCAATAAAATAAAAAAACAAAACAGACAAAAGAAAAAATAAAAGGACTTTAACACACTTAAAATCTTGAATACACCTAACTTTTAAGATTAACTATTCAATACATTCTGGTTCAAGAAAATGACAATCCACATAATTAAATTAAGCTATGTAAAATAAAGTTTGTTTAGGGTACTATGTGCTTACTGAAGTAACACCTAAAAAACAAATGTGATTGCAAAATACATGTATTCAAAATTTTCCTAAAGGATTCTTTACCAAAAACCCACAATTATTTAATTATGCCTATAAATATAAGGGTCTACAATAAAATGTAACTGTTGTTATTAAAGTAAGCAATATCCCTCTTTCACTTATAAAGTATTACTATCTCTGAGAAAATCCCAGGACAAAGCAGGGGATGCAGGCACGCACACGGCATGCGATCATCTCACCTGGAGGATGGACACCGTCTGGGAGAAGTGGTGCTGCTCCATGGTGGAGGTGGAATAGAGAGCTGCTAGAGGGTGGTCAAATTTCTGCAGATAGCTGTTACTGAAGCCCCTGTGGTCCAGGTCATGACACAGACACGCGATCAGCAGCCCTTTGCGCTTAAAAAACAATAATGCAGACATGTTTATAGCAACAATAAAAAACAGGATGTAGGGAGACTTACGGCTTACATCCACATCACATTAACTTCTACCGATCATACAGTCAACACCTTTTGCAGTCTCTGAAATTCCAGATGATGTAACTTCTTTTTAACCCCTTTTCTGTCTCTCTGCTTATGAACTTAACAGTCAAATTATTCTTGAGTTTTCCTGCTGCTCAAATGTGGGAAAAGGTCGACGACATCTCAAATTAAACATATAAAAAGCAAACGTTCTAAAAAATTACAGGTAAAGCAAATCTGCACAAGGAGAGGTCAGTTTCGGTTCTGCTTCATTCAGAAATCTATTCAATGTTAAATTCTAACAATGTTATTGCCATTATAAACAATTAATATAAGAAGTAAATCATTTATCATGTAAAATAAAGAGGCAAATTATATAGATAAAAGAAAAGGTCAAACAGGCTAAAGGGGTTTCAGAAGGAGGCAGGCCCAGTATTAATAAAGTAGGCCGGGTAGGCCTCATGAACAAGGTCAGATATGAGCAAAGATGTGGACAAGACGAAGGAGAGAAGCAAGAGGGTGACTGGGAGAGGAGCACCCAGGCAGGGAGCAGTAAGAACACATGCTGTCAGGTGAGCAGCCCTGAGAGTCAGGGGAGCAGGAAGGCGGCCACTGGGGCTGAGGGCAGGGAGGTGGCAGTTATATAGGTCTTACATGCTAAGTGATGGAAGAGACTATGCAGGGTTTTAGCAGAGGAGTTATCTTCTAAATTATATTTTTAAAAGATCATTCTGGCAGCCACATTAAGAACAGACTCTAAGAGGGTAAGAAAGACCAGTAAGAAGACTTTTGCAGTAATTGAGGCAACCTGTAATCGAAGTTTAGACCAGGATAAAAACACTGGAAACTTATAAGATATGATTATACGATGAATGCATTTTGCTGGCAGAGCCAACAGGATTTTCTGACTGTCAGGGTGTGAAAAGAAAGGAGGGGAGCAGAGGGGTTGAGTACGACTTCAAGGGTTTTGGCCTTAGAAACTGTAATGACTACCATCAACTGGTGGAGCAGGTTTGAGGAGAAAGGTCAGGAGTCCGGGTTTGGATTGAGGTGAGATGCCTAACGCTCAAGTGGAGATTTGTTAAATGGAGATTTTGAGTTGACAGCTGGCTATTTAAGTCTAAAGTTCTGGGTATAGACCTTGGCTGGAGAAATAAAACTGTCAGGATACATGTGACAATAAAAGCCACAGAATTAGGTAAGCTCACCAAGGTTGTAGTTTGAAGACAGAGGAGGGTCAAGGTCTGAGCCCTCAAGTACTTGAACTCTAAGAAGTCTGAGGAAAGAGAAAGAATCAGCCACAAAATAAAAAAAATAAAAAAACAACACATCCCATAACAAAACAAGGAAGGAGCAGCCAGGGCAGTTACAGGAAAACCAAAGTGTTGGGTGTCCCGGGAATTAAGCAAAGACACTGACTAAAGAGGAAACACAGAGCACTGACTGTCGCATCTCACAAGGTGCAGGTGCTGTGACCTAGACTATAGCATTTCCTGGGGCACTGGGGTCAGAAGCCTGATCAGAGTTGGTCTTAGAAAGAATGGGAGGACAGGATTTGGTGAGAGCCAGTGAGCATCTCTCACATGGGGTTTGCTGCAGAGAAGAGCTAAGAAGTAGGAAGGTGGCTGAGCAGAGAAGCAGATCAAGAGAGTATTTTAAGATGTAATAACAGCATGCTTACATGCAGATGGAAATGATCCAGTAAAGAGAGGAGAAAGGACGATAATGGAGGAGAGAGAGACAAGAGT